AATAATAAAAAATAAAAATAAATTTAAAAAAATATTTTTAAAGGCAGACCAAGAGTGGTGGCTCACCCTCAGCATTTTGGGAGGCCGAGACGGGCAGAACACCTGAGGTCAGGAGTTCAAGGCCACCCTGGCCAACGTGGTGAAACCCTGTCTCTACTCAAAATATAAAATTAGCTGGGCAGGTGGTGTGCACCTGTAATTCCAGATACTCGGGAGGCTGAGGCAGGAGAATCACTTGAATCCTCGAAGTGGAGGTTGCAGTGAGCCGAGATTGCGCCACTGCACTCCAGCCTGGTGACAGATCGAGACTCGATCTAAAAAAAAAACAAAAAAACTTGATCTCACTGAAGTAGAGAATAGAACGGTGGTTAGCAGGGGCTGGGCAGTTGGGAGGGTTGGGTATTGGGGTCATGTTTGTTAAGTGTTGGAAATGGATGTTGAAAACAGATGCTCGCTGCCACAAAGAAAAATTAGCACGGAGACAAAGGATCTTTCAGCAGCACAATTTTTACTTCCTGGACTGCAGGAAGGATACTCTCACTAGCCATCTTGCCAAGAGAGTACAAAGAACAAAGGGAATATACACAAATTTATTCCTTACACATTTGGGGTCATCCTTACTGCTATGTCTCATCTCCGTTGGCTGGAGCCAGACCTCACAATCTAAACTAAAACCCGAATGGCTAATAACTTAAAACTTTTCTTAACAGGTAAAAACAATGGAGAGTTGGGACATGCCTGTGAGCACATACAGCACAGATATCTTGGTTAGAATGTACTATGTGCCTATAAGCACAGCATGTCTAACAGCTACATAGGATAGGGCTTAACAAAGTTATCAGCACACTTATTTTTTAACAAGAAAGGAAACTTTAAAAAGGAACTTTTCTACTTCCCACATTAAATGATATAAAATAACTGGATAGAAAGAAGTTCAAGAGATCTATTTTACAACATGGACACTATAGTTATAACAAAATATTCTTGAAAACTGCTAAAAAAGCCAGGCACAGCAGCTCATGCCTGTAATCCCAGCACTTTGGGAGGCTGAGGCGGGCAGATCACGACGTCAGGAGTTTGAGGCCAGACTGACCAACATGGTGAAACCCCGTCTCTTATTTTAAAGAAAAGAAAACTGCTAAAAGAGTGGATATGAAACTTTCTTACCACACAAATGTTAACTATGAGGGAATGCATACATTAAGTAGCTAGATTTAGTCATCCACAATGTGTATAAACTTCAAAACATCATGTTATACATGATAAATATATACAATTTTGTATATCACTTAAAAATGAAATATAGGAATGCAAAAATTTCAAAAGCTTACTGGAAGGCAGTCTTTGTGCAGACTGCACAAGGGAAGAAGGGGTAGTGAGGAGGAAATGGTCCCCTCTCCGTGAGCCTCATACTTTTGGGCCAGGACTCAGAAGAGTCTCAGATGCACCAGAAAATACTACTGCTAAACTGAGGCAGGGACACTAATTAGCCACTCTATGTAAAAATCTTAATGGAATAGATCCTCATTACCTTGAGAGTAAATTCCAGCCTACTTAGTATTATAAGCAACTGTGTCCCGATGCCTTATTGCCAAATATTATTTGATTTGCCGATGTCTTTCCTATAGGGAAACATGGTGGAAGCTGTTCTCTCCTGCTTCCTGTTCCATCATTCATAATCTATTTCACAGAGAAAATGAAAGCCTTCTGACAGGAGCTCCTACAACTTGCCACCTCCAACCTCCAAAAGCACATAGCCAGACATCCATCTTTTCCTCCCTCTCTCCTCTTATGATGCAAGATATGTCTACCCACGCATGTTCTTATTCACATGTGGGGTTTTTTTGTTTTGTTTTCTGTTTCTTGCGGAGTTTTTTTTTTTTGAGACAGAGTCTCACTCTGTTGCCCAGGCTGGAGTGCAGTGATGCAATCTCGGCTCCCTGCAACCTCTGCCTCTTGGGTTCAAGAAATTATTGTGCCTCAGCCTCCCAATTAGCTGCGATTACAGGAATAAGCCACCACACCAGGCTAATTTTTGTATTTTCAGTAGAGATAGGGTTTCGCCATGTTGGCCAGGCTGGTCTTGAACTCCCAACCTCAGGTAATCCGCCTGCCTTGGCCTCCCAAAGTGCTGGGATTACAGGTGTGAACCACTGCACCTGACTTCTAAAATATTTTGATTTCTTTCAGAGCTGCTATATGTCTTATAAGGCTATACAGGGTTAGAATTTGATGTCTTATTGCTACAAAGAGTCTGCTTTTTCAGCCTTAAGATTTAATGTTAATGCTGGTCGGTTGTGCCTGAATTCCAAAAGGAGGAGAGTGTAATGAGGCATGATTGGATCCCCACTTCCCGTCATGACCTGAACTAGTTTTCCCGTTTTCTTTAGAATCCCCTTGGTTGAGATGAGGGGTCCATTCAGTCGTTTGAGGGACTTGAATTTGTCTTTCGGTTTACACGCACTCAATGTATTCAATCATAATACATAATAAATTGCAAAGGAAAATGTTTCACAGCATATTGAATTCTTCAGATAAAGAAAGACACCAAATAGCCAGGCATAGTGGCTCATGCCTGTAATCCCAGCACTTTGAGAGGCCAGGGCAGACAAAATGCTTGAGGTTAGGAGTTCGAGACTAGCCTGGCCGACATGGTGAAACCTTATCTCTACTAAAAATACAAAAATTAGCTGGGTGTGGCTGCACACGTCTGTAGTCCTAGCTACTCGGGAGGCTGAAGCAGGAGAATCATTTGAATCCAGGAGGTGGAGGTTGCAGTGAGCCAAGATCATGCCATTACACTCTAGCCTGGGAGACAGAGCAAGATTTCATTCTTAAAAACAAAAAAACAAGACATCAAATGATCTGGACTCTAAAATGATGCTTCCCATATACTCTTGAAGCAGCAATGTTCAGCTCCTGGTAGCAAAACAAACTTGACCATGGGTGTGGGGCATCTAGCCCTCAACAGTGTACACAGTGCTTTTTATTGCCTGGGCTCCTTTAATCCTCCCGACAGCACTATGAGCTGGCATTATTACCACAGCTTCGCAGATGTTGACAGTGAGTTCTGAGGCCAGTTGCAATGGCTCACGCCTGTAATCCCAGCACTTTGGGAGGCTGAGGTGTGAAGATCACTTGAGCCTAGGAGTTTGAGACCAACCTGGGCAACATAGCAAGACCCTGTCTCTAAATTTAAGAAAAGAAAGAAAGTGCGTTCTTCAGAGGTTAGGAAATTTGCAGAAGAAATGCTCATTACACTAGTAGGACAGAGACAGATTGGAATTCAGATCTTTTCACCTGATGTTTTATGATTCCCAAATATTTTTGCTACTTGACCATACTAATAGAGCTCATTGCTCTGTATCTATTTTAGTAGCTAATTGACTAGATGTAATATCAAGAATTTTTTTAATCATTTCACACTTATTGAGCAACCTCTGAGTGTGGCTAGTGAGGGAAATACTAAAGAAAAATAGATCTTTCCTTTTAAAAGATTAGCTTGTTATAAAGGAGGCATGGTTGTGAGCAGACAAAAATACTCAGAGACGCCTTACAAAGCAACCTAAGAATCTCTTATGAATTGCAAGCTGCATGCTATTTCACATTTTATTGTCTCTGGATGCATTTAAAATCAATTGAATGTCACAGTTTGCTTAGCAGCATTTGTTTTCTTGGTGGCACATAAAATAAGAAGGCCTCTCACAATCAATAGCATCTTAGAGTCAAGGAACTATGAAATAATTAAATGGCAATTTGTTTTATAGCAGTGAACAAATATTTGTCAAAGGGCAAATCTTTTTTGTCTGGAGTTAATAAAGTTATTATCTTCTACCACAAAGCTAGAGGTCAACAGTACCACTATTATTGATTGGCACTACCTGGCTCCAGCTCAACTTCTCCTTCCTTAGGATGAAAGCACAGCAGGCAGTCCCTCAGGGCAGCTGCCACAAATTAGTTTGACAATTAGGTTAACAACTTCAAATGACAATGCAACCAATGGGTTAAAAAAATAAAAAAAGGCATAAAGAATCCTAATAAAGACCAGGCAGTTTGGCTTAATCTAAGCACTTTCAGAAGCCGACACAGGAGGATCAATTGAGGCAGGAGTTTGAGACCAGGCTGGGCAACATAGTGAGATTCCCTTCTCTGCAAAAAATACTAAAAATTTGCTGGCAGTAGTGCTGCGCACCTGTAATCCCAGGTATTCGGGAGGCTGAAATGGCTGGATCACTGGACCCCGGAATTCTATGCTGCAGTAAGCTATGATCGCACCACTGCACCACAGCCTGGGCAACAGAACAAGATACTCTCTCAGAAAAAGAAAAATAGGCCGGGCATGGTGGCTCACACCTGTAATCCCAGCACTTTGGCAGGCCAAGGCAGACAAATTGCTTGAGCCCAGGAGTTTGAGACCAGCCTGGACAACATGAAGAAACTTTGTCTCTACAAAAAAATACAAAAATTAGGTGTGCGTCTGCAGTCCCAGCTACTCGGGAGGCTAAGGTGGGAGGATCACTTTAGCCAGGGAGTTTGAAGGTGCAGTGAGCCAAGATCGTGCCACTGTACTCCAGCCTGGATGACAGAATGAGATCCTGTATCAAAAAAGAAAAAATAATCCTCATGAAGAGAGTTCAAACAGAAGGACAACACAGTGTTCATGGACACAGTGTTTGAGGGACACTTTCAGAGAAGGCAATTTCAAGAAGTGAGTCCAAGGGGGAAGCTGAACATTCACATAGTATTTGGAAAGCAGTACCATATGTAGATGTAGATATAGATCAGAAAAGCCAGGGTGACAGAGTACAAAGCATTACGGACATTGACACCACAGATGTGAGTTCAAATCCTCACCAAGCCGTACATTGGTTGTTGCCTGGGAAAGTTCCTGAATTATTTTAAGCCTGAGTTTCCTCCTTTTTATTATTTTTTATTTTTTCAGCTACAATTAGACTTTATTCGATGTAATGTAATAAAACATTTTCGAGTTTAACAATATGTATCTGACCATAAATAATCACTTACATTATTAATATAAGTATACAGGGTCACATTAGCAAATCTCCAGTTCAGGAAATTGTACAAGCTTTGACTCAAAGGACAGTGTCTTCCTCCCCTTTCAAGAAAGGCAGTTCTTCCACATGTCTGGTAAGAAGCAACGTCAATAGGAGTTGGAAGGAGTCCATAATCCACATCGAAATTCTACTTTATCCTTGGAGGACAGCTTGCTTTATTGTAGAAAAATAATACTCTCTTTCAGTTCTGTCTTATCAAATGAAGGACTGTATTCAGTTTCCCCCTTGTAGATATAGGTACTCTTCTTTTCTCATCTACTGTGTCTCCTTTGCTCACACTGTGCTTATCATAGTTTGCTTGGAAAATCCTCCTGTCATACAACAAAATACATTCTGTCCATGAATGATTCCTGAATATTCACCATGACACCTAGACTCGGTAGCATAGGAAGTGTGCATTGGAACCTTCTCCCACTTGCATGGATTTAGACATGTCCAAAGAACCTGAAACTGCTGCCTTTCTGGAACTCAGTTCTGTTGGTGTGCTTACTGCTGAGATGATCTGCTATCTTAAACTGAGAACACACAATAGCACTGATCCACAGAAAAAAGGAGAGGTCACCATCTCTCTCGTAAGACATTTTGTAAATTGAATCACCCTGTTTGTCATGTTTTACCCACCCCAAGAAAGGACAGAAGCCGCATTCCATTCTGCAGTCTTGGCAAATGACTTTCTTCTGTTTCCACCTCTATTTTGCTTTATTTCGTCTCCATTATTCCACTTTCAGTCATGAATCATGACCTTTTATTTAGTCAGAGTTTTGCAGGACAAAGGTAGGTCTCCAGCCTCTCAGCAAGCTTCGGGGCTTAATGCATGCCTGCAGCTGAGAGTGCCTGGTTGATATTCTGGTACTGGCACGGAGCAGGTGCCATAGGTAGTCCTCAGGTTGAAGAAGGCATATATAAAAGGGTTCATGAGAGTTTGCATAGCCCAGCCATGGAACTATCCTCTCCACCCACAGTGGCATGCAGTGCCACAGACGAAGGGTCTGGCTATCAAAGGAGGAAAAAGGGCAGCCAGCACATGGTGAAGGCCCCAACGATGATCCCCAGAGTAGTTGCTGCTTTCCGTTCCTGCTTAAAGATGGAGATATTTTCCACACTCTTTCACCTCATTCTGGAACTTCACTGTGCCATTCAGGGTGACTACTGCTGTCTGGCTCCACTCGAGGGAAGCCAGGGAACCTGTGTTAGGCTGTGCTTTTCCTTGTAAATCTGGTAGCACATGAAAAGCATGACAGACATGAGGATATAATATGCCACTGCGGTGGAGAAAATCGTGTAGCCAAAGTCCTGACTGACCAAGCACACCTTATCATCATTTACATTCTGAGCCCAACCAAACTGTGGGGTAAAGTGACGGAGGCAGAGAGAAGGCAGACAGAAAGAATCATCTTCGCCATGCATTTCCCATTCTGCCTCATACGGTACGTTAGGGGCCTCCTGACCCCAAGGTACCTGTTGATGCTGATCATGCACGGGGTCAAGATCCAGGCCGTGCAGCACAGGACATCTATGGAGATAAAGACGTTACGGAAAAGGTGTCCAAAGATCCACTTGCCCCTGATGAGGTCGGTGAAGCTGATGAAGGGCATGACCGCAACGGCCATACGAGGTTGGCCAGCGCCAGGAACAGGATTAGGTAGTTGGAGGGCTGGCGGAGCACATGAAGATACCGCCAGGCAGTTGCCCGCAATCGTCAGCAGGGAGATGGGCGTCAAGACGAAGCCGATCACAACTCTCTCGGCTCTGCCTAGCTGATCTGCTCCCTGCGGCCGGAGGCATTGTCCGAGAGCGCGTCCCAGGTGGGCGCCAGGCTGGCAGTCACCTCGGGGACCCGGCTCAGCAGGTGCGGCATCAGGGCTCAGGTCGGGCAGCCCGCACCCCACCTCTAGCAGGAGGAAAGAGCCGAGGCGCCCGTAGAGGTCCGGGTGGCCGCTGCTCTTAACATCCATCACGCACAGCCGAGTGCCGCTGCCCCGGGCTGTAGGTCCCGGGCTTCACCTCACCAGTTCCGCTCCGCGGCCCAGCCTGAGGCCAGCGCCGGCCGCTGGGGGGCGCCCGACTCAGCCTCGGGGCCCCGCCCTTCCCCGCCCCGAGGCCTCTGAATGAAACGCTGGAGCAAGGCCGCGTGGGGACTCCATGCGGGAGGCGCCTCCACCCCCGACGAACGCCCGGGACGTTCGGGCTCGTGGGCTCTCCGGCGGAGCTCGGCCGGCAGCCGCGCGGCTCGGAGCAATGGAGGCTCAGGCAGCGGCAGAAGTTTCGTTTCGGTTTCCTCCTTTTTAAATGGCTCCAACAAATTTGTCGGTGGTGTGCGGACTACAGATATATTTGTAAAAGAATTGACAGAAAGCAGGCACTCAACTCAGTAAATGGTGAGAAATTTGGTGAGAAGATTTTTGAATAGGAGTGAACGAGCAAAGCCATGCTTACAGAGGCACCAGGAAGCTGTGATTTAGAGGATGGTGGGAAAGAGTGGCAGCAGGAAAGTGGTTCGGATGCTCTTTCAGTCGTCTAGAAGGGGTCATGGGGCGGGGGTAGAGGGACGGCTACCGAGACAGGGAGCCCGGTGGCCGCTGTACCAGCGGGATCGGACCTTCGGGTGGGGGCCTGGAGAAGCGTGAGGAACCCAGGGCTCGGAGGTTGGAGCTCAGGCACATGAGAGAGGACGCAGCGGCGGACCGGCCGAGGGAGGGTTGAGGGAGCATGGCAGGAAGTTCCTCCCCCACCCCCCCGCTGCCTAAAGCCAGTCCACGCGAGAATTGCTTTCCAGGGCCTCAGCGGATAGGTTAGACTCGGAATAAGAGAAGAGCTCGGCGGAGGGGGATGGCCTGGGGCCCGCTGCCCGGTTCCCTCCCAAGACAGCCGCAGAACGCCTGAGAAGAGCCGGAGCACGACCCTGCGGCTCGCCACGCCGCGCCCACCCCTTGCTTGGCCGCCCTGCCCTGCCCTCTCACCTTGTGGCTCTGCGGCCCTGCTGCCCCGCCCTCTATCCCCGCCCTTCTCATCGCTGGCCCGCCCTCTCACCGCCCCCTCGTCTCGCCGCCCCACCCCCTCGTCTCGCGTCCCAGCCTTCCCTCTCCGCCCCACTCGCCTCTGTCCCGCCTACCTGCCTCACCGCCCGGCCCCCTGGCCGCCCCGCCCTCTGGCCCCTCCCTCTAGCCCGCCTCTCGCTTCATTGCTCACCGCCCTGCGGCCCTGCCACCCTACCCCCTGTAGTGGCCCCCAGTGGTGCTCCATCGACCCGCCACCTCACGTCCTCCCGTGCGTCGGGAGAGTCTCGGCTACAACATGTTGGGCATGATCAAGAACTCGCTGTTCGGAAGCGTAGAGACGTGGCCTTGGCAGGTCCTAAGCAAAGGGGACAAGGTAGGCCCGTAGGGTTGCCAAGGACCTGAAGGGTGGCTGCGTCCCACCCCCACCCTCATCGGGGCTGCAGCGGGTGCTGAGGGGCAGTTGGGGCAGGAATGTGCTATCGAAGGTGCGTTCTGGTGTCTGTCGCGAGTGCGGCCCTCCGACGCCCAGCACTAGGACTGGGAAGGAGAGAAGTGAGTGGTGCCCCTGCAGCCGGTGGTGGGAGGAGCAGGCTAAAGAGGAGAGATTGATCCAAGGGGAGAATCCCAACTTGGCGAGTTGGGCACTGCTGTTGAATGCATTCTTTCGTTTAAATATTCCAAACATTCTGAACAGTATTATTTGTTGAGAGACATTCGCTTGCAGAAATGAGCGTCGCAAGAAGCTCCAAAGTACTAGAGAACTGAGTACAGTAGCACCCCTTATCCGCGGTTTCAGTTACCCGCGGTCAGCTGTTGTCCATAACTATTAAATGGAAAATTCCAGAAAAACAGAAGTCCTAAGTTTTAAGTTTCCGGCCATTCTGCATAGCAGGATGAAATCTTGATCCCTGGGACCAGAATGCCCTTTTGTCCAAGGGTCAGCCTGCTATGTCTGTAACCCGCCCTTAGTTACTTAGTAGCTAGCGTGGTGATCAGATCGATTGTGGCGGTATTGCAGTGCTTGTGTTCAAGTAACCCTAATTTTACATAATAATGGCCCCAAAGTGCAAGCCTAGCAATGCTGGCATATTGTTACAATTGCTTTATTTTATTATTAATTGTTAATCTCTTACTGTGCCTAACTTATAGGTTAAACTTTATCTTAGGTATGCATGTACAGGAAAAAACATAGTAGATACAGGGTTCAGTTCTGCCCACCATTTTGGGTATCCACTTCAGGGCTTGGAAGGTATCTGCTATGGATAAGGGGGGACTACTGTGTAAAAGAACAAGATCTGTGCAGAATAGATGTAAATGTAGGCAGGAAGCACAGGGGCAGTGAATTCTGCCGGGGAGCTAAGATGGGGCCTTCAGTGGAGTGTCCTGAGCTGGGCCTCAGGGATGTGTAGCAGTGCATGCAACAGATAAGGGCATGCACAAAGGCCCAGAGCTGTACCATTGCTTTTGGCCAATTATATCTGCTGGAGTTGGGTACCTAGAACACAGAATGAGTGAGAAAAGCCATAGTTGCTGTCTTCCCCCAAATTTATATCAGTGCTAACATGGGCTAACTGAACTCTACCCCTGAAAACAAGGAGTCTGCTGCTAGATTATAATCTCCTGGTGGACAGGTAGTTTGTACAGTGCAGCTGTATACAGAGCTCCCAATACGATGCCTCATTTGTGAAAGGACTGCATTGCCTGGGGGCCAAGTTCTGATACCTAGTGCAATGATCTTCATATCACAAAAGCCCTCAATTAGACTCTAATCTGAACTCTTCGAGCAACCAAAGACCTTTCACCTGTTCTTATCTCTGTTTCCCCAGCTCTATGTAGAATGAACAGTTTAGCCCTAATCAGAGGTCACACATTTGAATGCCTGCAGCAGCCAGGCAGGTAATGGAAATGGGTGAAGCTGGCTGTTTTAGGCTTTAAGGCATGGTGGAGACTGTGGCAAATTAGAAGTGAGCTCAGGTTCCCATCTATAAAGGGCAGTTCCAGCCACCTGTTGCTATATAGTGATGTGGTATGAAACAGCGTTGCCAAATTTTTAAGGAAACCAATATATCCAAATTCTTATGTGAAATCACCCAATTTAAAATTAATTCAACAAAAAATATTTTTCAAGTGCTATGTGCCAGGCACTCTTCTAGGCAATGGGGATAAAAGAGTAAAACCAGCAGAAGTCTTTGCCCTCATGGAACTTAGGTTTTATTGGCTAATGAACAAATTAAATGTGTCATGGATCAGATGGTGATCAGTGCTGTGAAGAAAAGCAAGCAGGGAAGGGGAGTGAGGAATAGGGAGTGTTAGGAGTGAGGCTGTGGTTTTGAGTAGGGCAACTAACATAGTTGTGCACAGGCTGGACACCAGTCCAATAGGATGCCAGTGATTAATATCGGTCCTGCTCTCAGCATCCAAAAGACTCACCCAAGCCAACACAGAGAGCTGCCTGTCCTCCTCCCTGGGCAGCGAAGAAGGCACCTGTTAAGGTCTGCAGCATCACTGGCCTCCCCACCAAGTAGTTGCCCCACCCAAAACCACAGCCTTTCTCCTAACACTCAGCCCTGATGAAGGTTCCTGTGGTTCTAACACAAAGAATCCACGTGTTCTTGTTTTTTATCGTGGAATGGGGCTCGCTTTGTCTTTTTGGGTTCGTGATGATGGCCCACGCAGGCGGAGGATCTGGGCTGGTCCATGGCCTGTGCCCTCAGATTCCTTCCTCACCCATCCCCTGCTCTGCTGCCTCCCTGTAGAGTTGAGGCTGACCCATTCAGCCTCTGTTTCCCAGGCCAGATGTCAGCTGGCTCCCAGCTAGGTTGGCTCAGTGAGAGGCACTACTGGCAGATAGGAAGAAGGAAGAAAGCAGAGTATTTCTCCTCCTCCTTCTCCACCCTGTCAGATCTCTATCCTACTAGGAGCTTCTCTGTGGCTTTGGCTTTGACTACACAGGCTACCATGGTTCTAGCTTCTATCCAGTAATCTATGTATCTGAACTTAGGTAAAAGGCAAGCCTCCCTCCATCTCTCCTAGGGTGCTTACTAACCTCTAGGTTGCCTCTCTGTCCCCTGCTGGCATCTCAGCCCCTCTGTTATCTGTGTAACCAATTCCTTGCATCAAGATGTCTCTGCTCTAAATACACTAGTAGTTTCTGTTTCCTGTTTGACTCTTATTGATACAACGTCACCTGCTGTTAATTTGGGGTCTTTGGGATAAGTAGAAGTCCCTAATAAGCATCTTCCCTCAGTGTTTGATGGGAGTATGGGGCCATATGGGATACTGGTACCAAGCTAAAGCAAATCATTTAACCCAAATGAACCTTAGTTTCAACAGCTGTAAAATGGGTATAAAAATATCTTTTCCATCTATTTCCAGAGTTACTATAAATATTAATTTTTTTTTTTTTTTTGAGGCGGAGTTTCGTTCTTGTTACCCAGGCTGGAGTGCAATGGCGCAATCTCGGCTCACCACGACCTCCGCCTCCCGGGTTCAGGCAAGTCTCCTGCCTCAGCCTCCTGAGTAGCTGGGATTACAGGCACGCGCCACCATGCCCAGCTAATTTTTTGTAGTTTTAGTAGAGACGGGGTTTCACCGTGTTGACCAGGATGGTCTCGATCTCTTGACCTCGTGACCCACCGGCCTCGGCCTCCCAAAGTGCTGGGATTACAGGCGTGAGCCACCGCACCCGGCCAAATATTAATTTTTTTTTTAATTTTTAAATACTTTTTCTTTCACCATCTGACCAAGAAATATTAAATTCTTTAAAACCGTGAAAACATTTTGTAAAGTAGTATACTCTACAAACATAGTAATAGCATTATATTAGTGCTCATCTCAGCTTCATTCTTTCTAGCTGTGTGGTCACAGGCCAACTTAGCCCCTCTGAAGCTAATTGTGAGAAAAAATAATAGTTCATATCTTAATAGATTGTTTTGAAGTTCAAATGAGATAACCACTTATAAAATTGTTCAACACTAGTACTCGGTTGGAGATGGTGATGGTTAGCTTCCCCCTAATTTTACAATAAATTTTGAATAAGTTACTTAACATCCCCTGTGAGCCTTTGCATTCCTCAACTCTAAGATGAGAATAACAATACCAATGTGAAATTAATTAATTATGCATAGATACTTGTAAACCTTTTTTTTTAATATACAAATTTAATGGTATTATTATTTTTGAAGAGAGCCTGTCCCTGAAATTACCTCTTTTATCCTGGAAACAGCCTGGGTCAGAAACTGTTGGCCACCCTCCTGGGCAAATGGATGGCATACCATGTTCCCCATATAGCATAGGCTTCAGGCTCACCAGATGTTCAGGACTGATTCCAGGTACTTGGCAGGGAGGCCAGTGCTGCTGCAGACCTTATCAGATGCCTTCTTCATTGCTCAGGGATGGAGGAGGATAGACAGCTCTCTGTGATGGATTGGGTGTGCCTTTGGATGCTCAGTGTAGTACCGATATTAATAACGGACATCCTTATCGGATTTGCGTCTGGCCTGTGCACACAGGTTAGGATGTGATAGCCTGGCTTTGAGTCCGGGCTCCACCATTCACCCACTGCAGTTTGGGCATGTTACTTAAACTCTTGTTCCCCAGTTTCATCTGAAAATGAAGATTAAAGCACTAACTTCTTCACAGGGTTATAGGAGGAATTGAATGAATGAATCCACGTAAAGCATTTAAAATAACACAGACAAACAGAAAGTATACTCTGTTAATTATTATGATGAGTATATTCTTGTAATGAGAAAGCAGGCTTCCATCCTTAGCATGTATACCTACTACATGAAGTGGCAAGAAAAAAACTGACCTTTCAACGGAGTTGCAAATCCCATAGCCAGAGGCATTCTTGCTAGACTTTTGTCTGGGACTTGAACTTGACCAAGGTTCCCACTGAATGTTGAAAATTGGTTTTTGTAGCCATAGGCCAAAATCCCCATCTAGGAACTGATTGGGAGCATAGGATA